GGGCAACACAAGGAAGGCAACTAGTAAGGTGCATGGCATATGCTGTGGGGCCTGGCAGGGTACAGGCCCTGTATGGAAAATACAGCTGAGTTGGGTGATGGCCTGGCAGGGTTGAGAGACTGGTTAGGAAAAGGAGGACTGAGTAAACAAGCAAACATACTGGGGATAATAAGAGCCAGGTTTCTCATTCTTACATAATTATAAATGGGAACAGCTATAAAGATGGTGTAATATTGGATTAGAACTGAAAGTACTGGCCGGGCATGGTGGCTCAGGCCTATAATCCCAGCACTTTGGGAGGTTGAAGTAGGCAGATCACTTGAGGTCAGGAGTTCAAGACCAGCCTGGCCAACATGGTGAAACCCTGTCTCTACTAAAAAAATTAGTAGGGCACAGTGGTGGGTGCCTGTAATCCCAGCTACTTGGGAGGCTGAGGCAGGAGAATTGCTTAAACACAGGAGGCGGAGGTTGCAGTGAGCAGAGATTGTGCCACTGACTCTAGCCTGGGTGACAGCGAGACTCCATCTTTAAAAAAAAAAAAAAAAAGAATTGGAAGTACCAAAGTGAACCTGTGGTTTTCAATATATATAGACAGAAACAGAAATAAATATACAGTTGACTCTTGAATACAAGTTTTAACTGAGCTAGTCCACTTATACGCAGATTTTTATCAACCAAAAGGGACTGAAAATACAGTATATGCAAGATGCAAAACCCTTTAGCACGGGTGGGTAGCACAGAGGAGACTGTGAGACTAAGTATGCATGGATTTGGTATACCGGGGGTGGGAGGGTCCTGGAACCAATCCCCTGTGTACAAGGAGGGATGACTGTACCCGTAAAAATGGACAAATACTTATGTATATGTATGAACACGTATTTCCTAGCTCTGTCCCCTAAAAGGGGTTGGGAATCATGATATTCCAGTAGTAGTGAGCATACCAGATCTTGGTTTCTAAGTACCATTTCCTACTAAAAAGAACCAAGGTTCCTTGAAGAAATGGCTGATTTCTGGGCCAGGGCAAGAAAAGAATAAGATGAGCTGGAAGATCTTGCTGTGCCAGAGAGTGAGGAATACAGGAATGGCGGGGACACGTAAAATGGACATTGTAAACAGCTTGAAGGGGTTCTTACTGTCCAAATATGGGGAAACTGGAGCATCCAAATAAATCATAGTAAAGGATCACAATCCACTGAGCAAAACAGGAATCCATGCTAAATAAATAAACAATTGAACAAATAAGAACAGGAAATTCTTCCTTACACTAGAATGCCAACTAATAAAGACAGAAGGAATAATGAAATTAGAAAATCTCCAGTTATTGGAGCGTTGGGCAGGGGAAGAAAATCTCCAGTTATCTATCACAGTAATAATTCAGGCAAGAAACAGTAATAGATGCTAAAGCTGTTAGGTAAAAGTTGGATGTGGAACAGGATATTTACGTAGTCTGAAAGCATCTCTCCTTAAAATATTAATTATGAGGGGAGAAAGAATAATTTATAATGGATAAACTTTGGCAGACACCGCTTTACTGATGTGATCAAACTAAACATTACCAGTGATGGGGCAAAACGACATCTGGTGCTATCTGTGATCCTTCTACCAAAAATGCATAATCTCAGTCTTATCATGAGGAAACAGCAGACAAACCCAAACTGAGGAACATGTTACAAAAAAAAAAAGTCTGTAATCTTAAAAAATGTTAAGGTCATAAAGGTCAAGAAAGGAGTGACTAAGGCCTTTGAAAGGGATTTAAAAAACATTACCAGAATCATTTTCCTATTAAAGGACATTATTGGGACTGCTGACAAAACTTGAATGGGGGTCTCTGGGTGAATAGAATGTAGGAGTTCTTTTGTGTGCTTTTCTTGTACGATTACTGTAAGTTTGAAATTATTTCAAAATAAAAAAATTAACATCACAAAAAGCAAGACAATCATACAGCCTGGGCATCCTGAGGCAGGAATATAGCACTGCCCATGAAACAGTCTTGCCAACTAAAAAAAAATCTGACTAGACTCTACATCCATCTACCAATTTATAGAAAATACCATGTCGATATAATCAGCAAAATACAGACTGTGGCAAACTGCATAAGGCAAAAAAACCTGTTTTCTTCAACAAATAAACTGTAAGGAAAAAGAGACAGAGGGAAGCCCAAGTTTAAAAGAGATTGAAAGCTGGGCAAGGTAGGTCACGCCTGTAATCCTAACACTTTCAGAGGCTATGGTGGGTGGATCACTTGAGGCCAGGAGTTTGAGACCAGCCTGGCCAACATGGCTAAACCCTGTCTTTACTAAGAAAACAAAAATTAGCCAGGTATGGTGGCGCGTGCCTGTAATCCCAGCTACTCGGGAGGCTGAAACATGAGAATCGCTTGAGCTTGGGAGGCAGAGGTTACAGGGAGCCAAGATCATGCCACTGCACTCCAGCCTGGGAGAGAAAAAAGCAAAGAGATTGAAGCTAAATAGCAACCAATTACAATGTATTGACTTTTTTTGAATCCCAATTCAAACAAATTATACACACACA